TGGGTGATTAAATTTAATATTATTTGGAGTGTATTTTCACTTTAAAGTTTTTTGTAAAATTAGTGTTTCCCTTCGTGGATTATATATTCAACACGTAGCAAGTCCCTCCATGTTTTCTTATCACAAAGACAAAAGGTACTCGTGGAACCCAAGAAACCTCTCCTACAATGTCATCTAACACTTCCATAAAGTTCAAAATGCCCATCAACGTGGGAGGGTTTCTTCTGAAATTTCAAAGCATATTGTTCGTTGTAATTGAAGTCAATTCTAAAATGGCATTTGATGATGTAACAAAATTCAAGTTGCTTGGTAACAAGGTTAAATTAGTTGGTTCTTGTAATCTACCCTATCTTTTAAAGTTAAAATAGCCAAAATAGGTGTAGATTAATGTTGGAAGTAATATATTTACAAAATATTTTTCATGGAAGGTTAGAAAATTCTTAAATACTTAAGTAAGTATATTTATAGAAAGAGAAAATATAATGATATTTTAAAAAAAAAAATTTAAAAATACATATACTAAAAATATTGAGAATTGTAAGATTATGAATCATTTATATAAGTGATCCATGAGGTATTTATAAATCTTGTTATTTTATATGGGTGGAGGAGTTCAAATGTAATTTTTTTCATAATAATATTAATGAAAATATTTCTTACATGTATATTAATAAAAAGATAGATTTTTATACACTCAAAGATGTAAAAAGAATAAAATTCAAAATATATTAGTTTAAAAAAAATATATCTTAAGAAATCTATACGGGGTCTCCTAAAAATATCCTAAGAGACCCGTGAAAGGTCTTAAAGAAAGCTCGGATCGCACTGTGAAACTCTATGGGCGTTTAAAAATGAGTTTAAACATGCTGTCTAAACCCATGGGTGATAGGCTTGGTATCTAAAGAAGAGCCCACAGGCGCTGCTCTCAAGTCTGTGGGCAGTTCGCTCATGTTCTTTTAAGCCTCCAAGGATTTTATATCCGTTAAATTTGGACTCAGGCTTAACAGAAGATTTTGTTTTAAAAACTATTGATTTATAAATCCTGAACCATTAGCATTGCTCCTAACAGCTAGCAATGGTGACCTCAGTAAACCAATTGAATCATGCTGGAGTGTACCCTAAATTGCGATAAGTAAACTCAAGCTTGTCCTAATCAGGGTGGTTTTGTCTGGTTCGCTCGTGATTCCAGGCCTAGTTAAAGCTACCTTGACTAATCTGGAAGATTACAAACGAGCATTGGTGAAGGGCTACAGTGCTCAAACATGATGGATTTCTGTCATTTTCATTCTCTCTTTTACTACTTGAAGGTGGCTGCCCAGAAGATAGCAAAGTCACGAAAAACTGTTTTGAAAAGATATGAGTGCATTGAAAGGCATATATTCTTCTACACCTGTTGAATTGAATGCAGTGGAGAATGCATGCAAGTCATGAGGCGAAGGAGTTGGCATCCATGGATATTTTCGGAGAATGCATGCAAGTCATGAGGTGAAGGAGTTAGCATCCGTCCATGAATATTTTTGTTTTCATAAAACTAAATTTGAATTTTCAAATATTACAAAAATCACTGTTTTCAAGACGAAGATGATCTATTTCGATCCTCACAGGATATCTTATATACAAATATTATGAATTCTGATTAATTACAGTGAACCCAATTCAAGTTAAGTTTTATATTAAATTGAGTAAAAATAAAAAACCATATCAAATCTAATCAATGTAACAGGTGAATTCTTACGTTGGTTGACTCGGATGATATTTGATTTTTATTAAAAAAAATTAAAATAATATTATTTTAAGTTGATTTGTTTAACTAATGAGACTTGAATCTTGAACCGAGCTTGAATTCAATAATTTTATATGTATAACATGCATTAACTGATAATATTATAGTAACTGGTGAATTCTTATGTTGGTTGACTCGGACTCTGTTACAAAGATTCAAATGCTACTCTGATTTCATTTACGAAATTTGGAGATACAACATCTGACGTGGAGAGATTTTTAGATTGTTTGTTGGTTGAAAAATAATTTTTTTAAAAATAAATTTAAAAAAATAAATTTTAAGAATATAAATAAATTTTTGATATTTGATAACGTAATGAAAAATAAGTTGGAAAATACTTTTTAGGATTTGATTATGTTATAGAAAATAAACTAAAAAATAACTTATTAATATTTTATTTTTCTCAAGTTTAATAAAATAATAAGAAATAAATCTTAAAAATTAAAAAGTTGAATGAGAATAAAATTGAAAAATAAATAATTTCATAAATGATCTCAAATAAAATAAATAATAATCAAAATAATAGAGATCAAATCTAAAAAATAAAAGATAAAAAAATTAAAATAATAATCATTAACATTTCATAAATTATTTCAAATAAAATAAGTAATAATAAAAAAATAAAGATTAAATTTTATAGATAATTTTTTTTAATAAAAAATAATAAGAAAAAATAATAATTATAAAAATAAAGACCAAAGTTAATATAAAAATAAAATTGAAAAAAATAAAATTAAAAAATAAATATTCAAAACAAAATATATATAACAATCAAAAGTTTGAGGACTAAATTTGATATAATCAACAAATAATATAATATTTCTAATTTTTTTATAATTTCTAAAAAATATTTGTTGTTCAAATTTTTTAAAAAAATACTTTTTTTTAAAAATCAAGTCAAAGTTTCTTGGAAAGTATTTTCTTTTAACTAATTTTTCTAATAATAAACAAACATAAAAAAATTTAAAAAAAAAAATCTCAAAATTACTTTCTAAAAACAAAAACACCCTTAATTTTCATGATTTTCATGGACAAATGTGGCTGTGAAAAAGTACTAATAATTAACATTAACATTTCAAGCATAGGACATCGACATTGGACAGGATCCCGCATCTTGTCCGCATAAGTCACATTTAGATTACAATGGAAAATCCAATAAGAATCCAATTACTAGGATTTGATCCAAGGAGTGCCCAACAAGGGTTACAACAGGATTTTAATATATAAAATTATTCTTGGAATTCTCCTATTAACTTAAATTATTAAATTAAATTAATTTTTTATATAATATTATAATCTTGATATAAAATAATAATTCATCGATATAAATTTCAAGCCCGTATATAGTGTTTATTGGACTTTTGTTTGCCTGATGATTTATGGTAGGCATGTGTGCACTTGATATTGTTAATAAGAAACAAACATGTGTCACCACTTGAGTTTTTTATATAACAAAAGTAATCGAATTCTTTTGTCATATTATATATAAAAAAAAGAGGTAATTTTTACTGAATTTACAATTCTTAAGGAATTGATTGGTGGATCCTTGGTAATACCAAGAATCAATGGAGGAGAGAGATGAAAGACTCCTATTAGAATAAAATTATCCTATATAAAAAAGTCAAATTATAGAAAAATATATTATTAAATAAAATCTATATAAACTTTCAAGGCATTTGAAGGTGCACTGTACTTTTTAAAATTTTTGAAGTTTTTTAAAAGCTTTAGATTAATATTTTTATTGTTTTAGTATATAATATTAAAAATAAAAAATATTATTTTCATTTATCTTTAAGTAAAAATCATTTTTAAAAATAATCTTTACTGCATTTATTACACTTTTATTTTGAAAAAAAAAAAGATGTCGCTAGCAAGCATTGTACATGATTTCATTTTGGGTCCGAGAGGCGAAATAAGAAAATTAAAAGGACAAAAAAATAATAAAGAAGGAAAGAAACTCTCTTCTTGGAGTCTCCTTCATTTTCAATTTAGTCCACGCGTGAACGCGCCACGTCACCATCGAAGAAAGGGTAAATAATAAATAAGTGCATAAAGAGAGCAAACACCAAAAGGATAAAACCATGCATTGGTCCTTTAAGTGTTGAGGTTTGGTCAAATCAACTTTTGAACTCTACTTCTTATTCAATTTAGTCCTTTTCTTAACATTTATCAATTATCAATTCGCTTATATATGTATTCCTGGCAACGAGGCATGGTGATGAGACAGCTTTTAACTCCTTTGCCTATATTTTGGAAAAATAACTCTCATTCTTGCTTCTATTATATTAGATTTTATCAAATAACAATTAATATTTGTATATTTAATAAATAGAATATTTATAAATTTTTTTGAATAGCCATGGTTTTTATTAGTTAAAATTATCATGTTAGATTATACCTATTTTAAAGTAAATAAAAATTAATCTTTATTTATTTGAAAAAGATATTATGTGCTCGTTTGTTTGTAGCTAAAATATCAAGTAATTTTAGCATATAGTTTCTCTAATAATATAAAAATAAAACTTATAAATAATTCTTATAATTGATTGCACTTTTAAATAAGTAAAAAAAAGTCACCGTACCAAATTATCTATAATTTTTCATATTTATAAAACCTCAATGACCACAAATTATTCGAAAATAAGACTATGGTACATGTTTTTTCCACGGGTCAAGAATCAACGACATGTAAAAACCATCACAATTATCATGGAGGCATTAGCATTTCATTGTGAATTACCATTAGGACCCTCGACTTTGGAGGTTCAATTTGTAAAAATAAGTTATAGAAAGTTGATTTGAACAAATACTAAACATTGAGGGACCATATGTGATTCTTAGCCCCCCTCAAAATTGGTTCGTTCCCATTTAACGCGTGCAAGTACACGCTCGTCACCATTCAAAAACAAAAGCAAAGCGAAAGAGAAAGAAAAGAGTCCACTTTGGCTTTTCGTCTCGTCCTCCACCTCCTCCTCCATACATTATAACTTCCTTTCTCTGTACGGTTAGTCTCTCTTGGATTCTAAGCCGCCATACAAAGAAAGAATCAGATTTTCTTATAGATAGATAGATAGATAGATAGAGAGAGAGAGAGTGCAAAAAACATGAACGAGAAGGCTAATGTTTCGAAAGAACTTCATGCAAAGCACAGAAAGGTCTCTTCATTATATTCGTTTTCTATCTGACTTCACGTTTTGCTTCCTTTTCTTTTTGGTTGGGTTTGGAATTATAATTTTTTTCTTTGATAAAGACTTTCTTTTATTTATTCTTAGATTCATTTTAGTAAAAGCTTACTGGGTTTCTTGGGTTTGCTTTTATCTCTATTCATTTAAGTGTATTGGCTAGTTACAAGCAGGACGTAGTTATAGTTAATCTGTTTTGTTTTGCACTTGTTGTCTGAAAATATCTTGTTGTTCCACAATTTGAATTGGTTTGTTGTTCAAATTTTAAACATGGAATCTGTTGTGAGTTCTCTGAATAGGAATTGATTGCTTTGTGTATGATTTATATTAAGAAATGAGTGAATAAGGTAAGAAACTTGTTTAAGATTCATAGTATAGCTGTCAAAGGTGTTTGTTGGTGGTGCCATGGCTGACTCAATTCGTGGCTAGCTGTAACGAGATAAGAGTTGCTGAGTTGGTGATTTTTTCACTATGGATTTTGTGCAACAACACCTGTAGGGCTGTCTTTTTTTTATTAGATATCATTTCCATGTTGCCTATCATTTTCAATGAGTTGTAGTATGTTTTTGAAGTTGTTATTGCGATATTCACATGATTTATGCCATATGCCATTACCATAGAAGTCAATGATGATTTTTACAAAATAAAAGGTTAATAAAAATAAGATTTTTACATTTTGAGAAATGAGGACTGTCTTCTGCAATATGCAAACCAAAGCTCTGTGATTGTTGTACTACCTTCTTTTTCTCACCCAGCATCATGGCCTTGCTAATGACTTTCTTGTAATTTGTAGTTTATATGGTATTATTAATTTATAAAGAGATTCACCTCCGTGGCTCTTTTGATTTCAGATCTTGGAAAGCCTCCTTAAATTACCAGAGAATAGAGAGTGTGCTGACTGCAAAAGCAAGTAGGTATCCGGGCACCATGTATTGCGTATAAGAAATAATGTGGGTTTTCAAATTGTTGAGCTTTCTATTGTTACACTGATTTTCCTATCGGGAACTGGCCTGTTAGTATCCTAATATATGGGTTTGAGCATTTACAATTTGTGATGCTGTCTGATTTTATATACAGAGGGCCTCGATGGGCTAGCGTGAATCTAGGAATCTTCATATGCATGCACTGTTCAGGTATCCACAGGAGTCTAGGAGTACACATATCAAAGGTGGAGCGTTTTATTTATAATCATCTATATTTAGTTTTTCTTTTTTAATTCAAGAGTGAATGAGTGTGGTTGCGGTTGCTTTTCAAAGTGTTTTTCACTCAGAAAAGTATGCCAATAATGTTTTTTTTATTTTTTAAAAATTATTTTTGAGATCAGCACATCAAACTAATTTAAAAATATTAAAAACATATTAATTTAAAGAAAAAAAAATTAATTTTTAAAAACACTTTTAAAACACAGTGCCAAACACTCATCAGCTTCTTTATGACCATGACACAGGTTAGATCTGCCACTTTAGACACATGGCTTCCAGGGCAGATTGCATTTATTCAATGTAAGCATGATTATTATTACACTAAATTGTTTTCCTTTTGATTTAGCCAAGTTGCATCTGAGATCAGGTTTTTGTTTCTTGTTGTCCGCAGCTATGGGGAACGAGAGATCGAATAACTATTGGGAAGCAGAGTTGCCTCCTAAATATGACAGAGTTGAAATTGAGTATTTCATTCGGGCAAAGTATGACTTTGTAGAGTTACCAATCTCAAGTATTGATATTGTTTTTGACTTTGTCAGATATCATTAGTTTTTCTACTTGATGTTGAACTTAAGGATGCTTATGTTATATGTTAGATATGAAGAGAAGAGATGGGTTCCTAGGGATGGAAAAGCCAAATCACCTTCAAGGGTGAATGGAGAGAAGACTCCAACAAGAAGAAGTGGTCATGGCCAAATGAATGACACTAACCATGTTTTAGAGGAGAGGAAAGTTACTCGTCCACCCATTACCAATGGCAGAAGTCCTGCTTCCAAAAGTTCCACTCCAATGCCTGTTAAAGCTTCCACCCCATTGGCTGTTAAAGCATCTCAAAAGGTAGATACACTTTCGCTTCTGCTTGCCTTTGTTTCCTCAGCAACATCCATTGCCCTTCTCTCTGCTGGTACCATTTTAGTTAAGCATGTAGGTTACGTATGAATCAAACAAAGGAGATCATATTATACAAATGGAAAAGTATTTCAAGTGTGCTTATATTTTGCCACACATTTCCCAACTGTTAAAAGTTTTATACAATAATTACAAATTGATGCAAGTTGTTAAATTAGGGTTGCTATGTTTTTCTTTAAAAAAAAAAAATATATTTGAGAGATGAGGAGGTAGAAAGAGACATTTTGTGATATATATATATATTTGAGAGATGAGGAGGTAGAAAGAGACATTTTGTGAACATGTCGGGAAAAAACTGTTTCTTCAAGATCTTGAAAACTCAAAAGGATAATATATTTAGGATGTTTTGTCTGATCAATGTAGTTCTGAAGACATGATTCCATTTGGGGAACCATTTAATTGTTAGAGGTAAGATAAATCAATTGCAGTAGACAATTACAGAGAAATGGCTTGTCATTCCTTTTCTTATGTTAAATGTCGTCGTGTGTGTCTAACATGTGCAAAAATATGTGTTGTTTGGCTGCTGGCACTGCATGCATATAAACTAATGGACTGTGTGAACAGGCGGCACATGACAACAAATCACAAGAACCTGTGCAGAAGTCAGAACCAGCGGCCCCAAAAGCTGAGTTGGCAGAGAAGGAAGAAAGTGCAACCAAAGTTGTAACACTTCCAAAAGTTGATTATGCAACTGAACTTTTTAATTTGCTTTGCATGGATGATTCTAGGGAGAGTGATTCCACGACTCCTGCTCATGATAATGGATGGGCCAGTTTCCAAAGTGAGTTCCTGCTCCTAATAATTTACATGAAAGAAATCATTGATACTTAGATACTTTTTATCCATTTATCCTGGCTTGCCAGGTCCATAGTTGCTAAGAATCACCTCTTAGCTTGTTTTTTACCAATAATCTTTTCCCTGACCTGCTTGCAGCTGCTGATGCAAAATCTATTCCAGAGAGAAGTAGCTCGTCAAACTTTATTGAAAGCATGACACAACCGAACTTAACTTCACCATCTTTGGAGAAACCCCTAAAGGCTGTGAATAATGATACCATGAACCTCTTCGACAAGGTATATATTTTGAAAAAAAATGCCATGATTAAATATGGATCCGGGTATTGTGGAGGACAAAAGATTCCATTCACTGATCATGTGACAAAAAAATTGTTAAGAATAAGAGCTGTGTGTGTTCAGCGTGAAGCAATTATGGCAGATGATTTTCGTAACACCTTTGTGTGAGTGTGGGTTTTCATCACAAAGTTATCATGATAGATGATTATAAATAACACCGCTCTATTTTTTGGGTCATCTATGGCATATCTGTGAGCTTCCCAATTGGTTGTTCTGCCTAGAATTGGAGTAAAGGCATTTTCTTAATTTTCTGTAAGAGGGATCAGAAGTGGAGTTTCTGTGTCCATAGTCTTCTATTATGTGTTAAAACGAAATATGAAAAATAGCGTTGTGGAATTCTTGATATACAACAGTCCATTTGTATTTTCATCATTTATTTTTTTGCTCGCTCAAAAGAGATTCATGTTCATCTTACCATTTCGTTGGTGGAATATGCAGTCCAGTATGGCGTCTCCATTTTCTGTCCATCAACAGCAACTTGCAAAAATGTTATCCCAACAACAACAATTCATTATGGCTACCGCAGCAGGGTCTGGCAATGGATCCCACACCGTTCCTTCAAAATCATATAGACCCAGTTCCAATGGCATTCACTTACCTGCTCAGAGTTGGGGAAGCTATGGCTATCAAGTTCCTGGGATGGTGATGCCAATCTCTGATCCTCAAAAATATATGCAGTCTGAGCTTTTACATGTTAACCCCATGTTTTTTTCTGTTTGAAAAGCTCCATCTCTCATCTATTGTTGTCTTCTTGCACCAGATGGGAAGCAGCCAACAAGTGTATTCTGCAGGGAACCCAATTAACTTTCCGATATCAAGGTAGCATGCTAAGGGCTTCTGTCCAGTCATTTATTTATTGCTGAATTCTTTTTAGTTTTTAACTATAATTTTGATCTTTCTGGGTTGGTTCCTAATAACTTTATGATTCCAAAATTAAGTTTCGAAGTTAATTTAAGCGATGAAATCTCACAGTTTTAGAGTTGACATAATCAACACTGAGAGTAGTCAAAACCTGAAGCAAAAAGATCATTTTACTACAGAATGAGGGTTATGCCCTGCAATTGAATTAGCATACCTTTCTGACAATATATTGTGGTGGCAAATAAGCGTGAACTGGATTAGTGGCCCCATTTTTGATAGATACGAGACTGGAGAAGGATCATTTCCCTGCTCCACAGATATGCAGTCTTGTGTAAATTTTTGGATTTTGTTAACGATGCATGCATGTTCATTACCTTGACTATCATAGCATTAAAAGGCAGCTGTAAAATTAGTTTCTGTAAGTTGCCTGATGCAGCTTGAAAGTTCTGTAAAGCGGATGTTGCTACACTTTCATCTTTCATTCAGAGATAATTGCTTGTTGAAAGGGTCTGGCCTGATGCTTGTTTATAAGGTTTGGTTTTGCCACATATACTTAAAACAATTCGATGCTTGTGAATTATATGCAGCATGTATAGGCCAGGTCCAGTAGCTCCTATCAATGGCATGACAAACACCAAAGCAACCATGCCTACTCCAGCATTCCCAGTTGCTCCAACTCAGCCTTCAGGGTATTACGATCTCTCATCATTAGCGACGTATACAAAACAGTGATGGATTGCCTAGACATTCTCTCCATTAAAGTAGTTAAATCATGGGAAAATTCGCACTCATATTACCTTGCATGAACTCTCATCCAATTGCTTGTTGGGGGTTACTGCCTAGGTTTGTATTTATTTGTATCATTGCCATCATTGGTTTAATAAAGTTGGTTTCATATTGAATAATTTCCTTTATACTCTCCTTTCATTTCTTCCATTAAGGTTCCAAAACTCCTTGAGCTGGTTGCTTAATGCGGTATCTAACTGTAACCTCCGACATTGCTTGGATTTGGCACATATTGATTGGTATCTAATCAAAGTCTATAAATATTTAGGTTTCCGTAAACATTCATGTCATTCAAGTTCAAGACATTGAGGTTCATTCAAGAGTTTCACAGAAATTCATTCAATAATCACATACCTCGATCTTGTTCTTCTTTTCTTTCAAGTGTATTACTCCTACATTTATGAACTTTTAGAGGGTGCTGTATTCAAATAGAATATTTGTTTTGTAAGAAAAACTAAGAGATAATGTCTAAACTCAAGCCCATGCAATTCAGCTCAAGATGTAATCGCGAAAAAACTGAAATCAAGTATAAAGTTTCCATGACATTCATGTCATTCGAGGCTAAGCATTTTCAGTTCCGTCTAGTTTTTTTTCCTTTCAAATCAGTTTAAATAAAAAAAAATTCAATTAAGTTTTTTTTTTAAGCTTTTTTATGGGCCATGTTTTTCAAGGTTTCTATTTTTATCTTGTTTTTATTTTCTCAACTCTATACCTATTTTCTAAGATATCTTGAATTTCTCAATAAACATGATTTTTTTTAAAGTTGGTTAGGCATTCATAATATCTAGAAATTCAATCTTAATTTTTTTTTTGTTAGATCATTGCTTAAAAATTAAATTTTGCAAAAAAGCACAGAAAAGAAAAGAATTCATTTGATTGGAAAAAAACAAATAAACAAAAAAAACATTTGATATCTATTATTAATGTAAAACCATCAAAACATTATTATATAAATAAAAAGAAACCAATTACAAATAGTTTATATATATCATCATCATCTATCAAGTGCCTAATGTTTTTATACCTGGTTTCTTTAATTAAACTTGATTTTTAATTGTTATTCTCACAAGACTAATATCAAGAAGAGCACATGAAGGTGTTTTTGCTGATTCAATAAAATAATTTTTTTTTTGTTACATGTGTATAAAAAATTATATGATAACTACAAGATTATGTGAGAAATAGGGAAAAAAATAATAAAAAAAAAGGTAAAAAGGGGCATGCCTTTGATTAAAAGGAATGAAAAATATGAAGCTTAATAGTTATGGAGCATAGAGAAAAATCAAGGAAAAGATAAACATAAAAAGTAAAGGAAGGGAGGTAATGATTTTATTTTAAAGAATATTGATTTAGATTTAGGGTTAGAAAAATATTTCAAACTTTGAAAACAAACCTAAACTAAAAAATTTTATAATTTTTTAATTGGTTGACTCAATTTTTTTTTATTTGATTTTTTTTATTTAATTGGTTTAATCAATTATTTATTTTTTTAACTTACCCCTACTCCCATCAATTTCATGTTGAATAATTTTCATTACAACCTCCCATCATTTCTTCCATTAAGGGTCCAAAACTCCTCGACTTGGTTACTTAACATGCAGTATCTATTTTAACCTCCAGCGTTGCTGGATTTGTCACATGCTTGATCGGCACTCAACTCTGACTTGGGCTTCAAGGTACATTTGACGTGATGACCTCTGTCTCATTTCATCAATTGTTTCATCTACCTTGCCACAGCCCATTAGGCTAAGTTTCTTTTCCCTTTCTTCCCCCCTTTTTAAAGGGCCCCTTCTTCTTCCATCTTTCCTCAATTCAAGGAGGCTGACTACTTATCTAGGGTTTGCAAGTGTATTCATCCTCACATTCAAATTCACGGACAAAATCTCTTGTCACTACTAGAAAATGTAGTCATTAGCAACGGACTACTTCGTTGCAAATAATACTAAAATCCGTTGCTAATATAATTTAGCAACAGAATCAGCAACGGCAAATTTTGAATGCAGATTTGTCGTTGCTGATTCTTTAGCAACGAATATATCCGTTGCTGATTTTCCAGCAACGAAAATTCCATTGCTTACAATTAGCAATTGATTTTCCGTTGCAATTTTAGCAATGGATTTTCAACAACGGAAATTCCGTTGCTCATTTTGGGAATTTGCTGAGTATATTAATTTTATTAAATTAATTTTTATTTATTTATTAAAATGACTTTTAATTTATTTAATTAATTATTTATAGATATTTTGAAAGTTGTAGAATATATATAACCAACATAAATTAATTTTAAAAATAATTGTATAACTAATAAAAAATAAAATAAAAATAATATTCATATTATAAAAATTTAGTCAAACTTGCATTAATACAATTATGTCGAAATACAATTAAAAAAAAATAACAAAAGATACAATCATGGTGGTGGTTACGAAGACGAACCATGATATTGGGGGTCGACAAAAGATTGAACAGGAT